TGTACTTTCTCTTGCAGAAGTTGGTTTCAACACTGATACTCTTTACCACTTCTTGCTATTTGCAAACTAAGAAAAAATTTCTTTTGCCCTTAGTTATATTTAAACAGCTACAGACAGATTGTAAAATCTACATAGATTCCTCTTATATTTGACCCAATTAATTTTCTGTAAATCTCCATATTTTCAATTTTAAATAGATGCCCTGTTTTGGGGTTTTTAAGGAGACTGCCACCAAAACTCTTGAGTGTGTGAGTGAGGCAAACCCAATTGAAATTAACGAAAATAACCCTCTCTTAATTACACTATTAGTCGTTAAGCAATAGTTAGATGAAGTCAACAAAAATAAAACCAACCCAAGTGAAAAAATCAACACAGCACTACCAAGAGACCTTTCCACATTACAATCTTCTTTCCTCCCAGACAGTTCAGTTCCTCACGCTTCGCTTACTTTCTCTCTCTTTTCTTTTCGAACACTGTAATCGTGATTCTCGTCTCGCCATACTCATTTTCTTCAAACCCTACCTTACCCATTTCTCCCTTTCTCTTTTCCTCTGAAGCTTCAAGGTTTAGCGGACTCTGTGTTTCGTTCACAAACTCATTCAAGAGTTTCACCTTTCGTCCCTTTCGTTTTGTTTTTTATTTTGCCCATAAATTGAGCATCTTTTGCATACCCACATGCAGATTTTGTGGTTGAGTCTCTAATTTTTGTTTCTGTGTGTCGTAGGTACTTCACGTGGTCATTTTATGGAGCTTTTTTCATAGACACGAACTGGGGTTTCGTGATTTTTGGTTGAATATTAATTTAGAGAGATTAGTTTGGGATCCACTTGCAAAGTTGCAATATTTGTACTGAATGATGTCTCAGCAGCAAAACCAAAACCGAAACCTACCTGCGGCTCCGCAATCTCTGCTACGACAAACGGGTTTTGGAGATGGTGTTAAACCCTTCTCATTAAGGTACTAATGTGCTTGAAATAGTTTCCATAAACATTCCTATGCATTTCAAATAACGAATAAGGTTTTAATCTCTTTTCTTCCTTTGATATATTCATTATTGCATGTTCTATTTTGATCTCTTGCATTATGTTGTAAGGTGTGAAGCACATGTGTGTTGTAGGTTATTTATAATATTTCCAGCACAAGTACACAACTTAAGCTTATGATTATTCTCTGTTCATCAATATTCATTTTCTTTTTGCTTTTGACTTTTGCATTTCCCTTTGCGAATTTTATGAAAACTGTGTTTAGATTTTGAAAGGTTTGTTTAAGGCTAATTTGATTTAGTTGTTGAGAAACACAAGAGGAAATAGACTAGAAGTAATTATTTTCTTCAGTGATGATAGATTATAAATTATGTTGCAGACAGTATGTTCTTGCTTCTCGTCACAGAAATTTCTTTCAAAACTGGCCATTTCATGAGAAGTTCTTGCAATTGTGTCTTAAACATGGTCTCGAGGAGAAAGAGGTGTTGCCACCATTTGGAAGCCAAACTTCACTTACCGAACCACTCAAAGATAGTCCTAACTTGATGCATTCATCGAGTGATGATAATGATAATAATGATGAAAAAGAAGCTGATTCCTGCAAAGCTGAATATGATTACCACCCACAAACTACAAAAAATGACTGTGACTACAAAGTGAAAGAGGGAAATCAGCAAAACTGCAACATTTCTGCCAATTTATCTCAGACAGCATACACATGTAATCTCCCAAGTTCAACTCATGCTCACAAAATAAGTCCACTAATGCCACCACCATCGAAGAAAGTAAAAGATAAATGCAGAAGGCATAAAGGGAGATGCAAGAAACGCTCCATGGTGGATATTTTAGCAGTGGCACGGCACACTACTTTAGAGGAGATCCATAGGATGAACAAGTTTTATTATCCAGAAACAGTGATTGAAGAATATCAGCAAACAGTGCCTTATGGAAATATCTCCATGCCTGAGCTAGGGAGTGATGGTTCATGTAGAAAAGGTTGGAGAGAAGATGCATATGATGGTTTAGCTAATGTTGACATGGCAGCAAAGGGGCCATTGCTTCTTAAGTTCAAGCTCAATGGATGTAATGTAAATGGGTATTACAGAACATAAATAAATTCTGTTCAATTTTATGCAATCTTATTACTATATTATATATTTTGCATTCCACCATCTAAGAAATAGAAAGCATTGTTTTCGTTATGTATGAGAGATTATAAAGAAAAAATAGCAAGAAACAAAGGAACCAGATAATAAAGCTGTTAGAGTAACTAGTACAGAATCAGAACAATGACTCATACACATCAATAACACTAGAAATGTTTTGGTTTGGAAAAGCTATGCTGTAAAATCCAAGTATATAGTGTTTGATTGACGTTTATATTTTTTCCTCTCCTTATAATCAAATGTAAAAGTTCTTCAATTGCCTTCTATTCAAGTTCTATGTTTTACTCACTGGTTCATTGGAAAAACAGCTACTTCTAGTTTTTGTCAGAAATTATATATGCTTATGACTGGATAAATTTGTAGGGATGTAATTTTTCCACATGTTACATTATGTAATATGATTTTAGAGGATCTTATTTTTTTGAAAAGAAGAAAGTGATCGTTTATATTGAAAGTTTCCTTTTGATATATATATATATATATATATATATGATATCTAAAAAATTTATGTCAATATAAAACTATTTAATGTTTGGTTTATATAATTTAAAATTGAGGTGATATGTATTTTTAGAAATATATTAAAATAAGAATTGTTTAATTATTTTTAATGTTGTTCAATTCTAAAAAATTTTGATAAAATAAATAAAATTCATTATTTTTACATAAAATTATTATATAACGTTTAATAAAAATTATATATTTTGTTAATTTTTTATTTAAAATACATAACAATTACAAAATATTACACCGTTTAATAGATGGGTCAAATTCATGATTAATGATAATTAAATTTGGGTCAAGCTCGTATTATTAAGCCACAGATAAATTTTACGGGTATTGATGAGTATGGCACAAATTATATTTTTTTAGTCGTGTTTTTAATTATAGGATTTGTTTACTCTAAATTATATTCCAACAAGTTTTTAGTTTAAAAGAAGTTAGCATTGCAAATTACAAGTATAAACTTTATGATTTCGGAAAAATGTTGCAAACTCTAATTTGTATTTGTGATTGGTTAAATAGCGTTATTTCATGAAGTAGATATAATTACTCTAACATTAAGTTTAAATCGTAACGCGTGTATTTTTTTTTTTAGAGTTTTAGATGATATCTTTTTTGTATTGTTTTGCAGTAAGTTTTTTTTTATTATATTGAGCTTGTATGTTTTCCTTTTGGATTTCATTAGCTGTGACTAATAAACACTTTATTTTTTACCGAAATATTGTCATACCATCTTAATACAGAAAATCACATTATTAAAAGAGAAAAAATTTTAAAAAATCACATAATTAAAAGTGTATAGATATGGATAAATTAGATTTTTATAGTTCATTTTATAAAGTTTTCTAATAAAACCTACGTGGTAGATTAGCCAACTAATTTCTGAGTTTCTTAGTTCACAATGTTATTATAATTTATATATTGTGTGTGAGATAAAATATTTATGAATAATTTGATAATAATTAAATATTTCTTTTTTAGAGATCCATGAGCTCACGTCCAAAAAAGAATACATATGAATTTAGGTACACTATTTTAGGAATAACAACTTGATATATCATACATGAATAATTGATGTAGAAAAAAAAAGCAAGATCAAGTTATCCTTCTCTTTTTGTCTTGTTGTCTCTGTACAAATTCTATAAATTACCTTTCAAGTGTCTCACAATATGAGAGTCATGTACTTGTTAATTTCTCCATCTCTAAGTATAATAATAGTTATGTGTCAGTATTTTTGGAGACATTCAGCTATTTACTACTTATATAATGAGTCAAATTTAATTTTATATAAGCAAGTAAGTCTTCAAATGATATTTTTGATCCTATTTTTAACATTAATGAGATGTTACCATATTTGAAATTTATGGATCAATTTTTCTAAGTAAAATGGTTTCTCCATATGTAAATAATGTTTGCATTTGATAGTTGAAGTTAAAAATGCTTAAATTAGTAAGAAATTTATGTTTGATTAGTCCATAAGATAGTTTTGTAAAATTAGTTTTAAGTTAAAAGTTCATTTTCTTAATAAAAGGTATCATAATTATAGGTTTTAAGTATATCATAATAAGATTTATTGTTTGATGTGTTTATCATGTTACCTACTGTCATTTTGCGATATTAGATTATTCATATATAGTCTCGTGTTTGAGATATACGTGTCTCGATACGAGAAAATATATAAAGATCACACATGAATTAGAGATAAGATGAGTTTTTAATTTTTTTATAGAAGATATTTTTTTGTGTAACACTATAATTTTATAATATCTTTATATATTACAATTAAATTATTGTTTTTTCTAAAAAAAAATATTTTCAATATTATAAAAATTTTAATTTTATTTTTTGTGGTTTTTAAAAAAAATTGAAACAATATGATGCTTTTTAAAACAAAATAAAAGAATATGATGTTTTTTAATACGAAATAAAAGAAGTACTATTATTTATTAAAAATATAAAATAAGTTAAGGTTTATTTATAAACTGAAAATTTATTTTAAGATTAAAGCAGATAGGATTATCATTTAATATTATCTCACAAAAAGTAGATGTGTAAATGGAATTTTGCAATAAGAGATACAGTTGAGAAATGAAAACTTAACCAGGACAACAGTAAATTAGGTTTTCAATAAAAGTTAATAATGAACAAAGGCTATTCTTTGCCAAACCACTGTGAGAAAAAATAATATTTTCTCCATTTCATAATACTCATATTTGATTTTTCAACTTCTAATTAATATTTCAACCTTAAAAAATACATTTAAGAAGAAAATAATTTAATTACTGTTATCAGTGTTCTAAAATAAAATAAAAAGGAATTTCTCTGGAACCAAGACATACTAAGTAGTATATATGGAAAGATATTTGTCCGATGAATTGGCTGATGTATGATGTTGTAACATAATGTAATGCATATGCATTGTGTGCAAACTAGTGCTATTGGAGGATTCGCCTCTCCCATTATCAAATCATCACTTTCACTTCCGTCAACAACAATGGCCATGCCTTCTCCTAACTCACTCCGAGTTGCAGCGGCCCAGATGACATCCGTCAGCGACCTCGCCGCCAATTTCGCCACCTGCTCTCGCCTTGTCAAAGTTTTCTTCTTTTCCATATTTTCTTTTCTGGGTTCCCTTTATTTTCTCTCATATTTTTCTCTTCTATTTTATATCCTCCTTTGTACTGTTTTTCTTTTGAATACTGAGTATTGGGTTTGGTGTGCAAAGGAAGCAGCTTCAGCTGGAGCCAAATTGCTTTGCTTTCCTGAGGCTTTCTCTTATGTGGGTACCAAGGATGGGGACAGTGTTAGTGTTGCTCAACCATTGGATGGACCAATTATGAACCAGTATTGCTCTTTGGCCAGGTCATACTTATACCCATCTCTTCATTTTCTTCATATTTCAACTCTTCAATTGTGATTCATCCAAACAACCAATTGTTTGCAAACCCTCTTTGATTGAGGATTGTAGGGCCTTTGGCCTTTGTAACCAACATGATGGTTTCCAGAGGGCACCAGGTCACCCATAGTAGAGTTTACTTAGCTTTTCTGAGTTCTTAATCCACTTTAAGACTCCTCATGGGTGTGAACAATTTGTCTTCTCTCTTTTTTTTTTTTTTCATTTTTGTGGAAAATGTGAATACTTTACATGTTCTAATGCACTACAGAGAATCCAGCATTTGGTTGTCACTTGGAGGCTTCCAAGAGAAAGGATCTGATCCTCAACACTTGTGTAATACTCACGTTATAGTAGATGAGACTGGGAAAATTAGAAGCTCTTATAGAAAGATACACCTGTAAGATCGGTGACTCATAATACTTGCAACTATTAATAATGTATATGATTGTTTATCAACTCCTAGATATATATATAGTTTGTGTGGGTACGTCCTCCCTAATTGAGAAAATTTTCTGCTTTCTGTTTGTGCTATTGTGGCTGTATAAACAATTGATATTTAATTTTTACTTTATTTTATTTAAAGGTTTGATGTAGATGTTCCTGGTGGAAGGGTATATAAAGAAAGTAGTTTTACAGAACCAGGTTGGATATTTACTCTCTCTACTAAGTATTGAAGATTAACGAGCCTTTGTTTTGCTTAGTCCTGAGTGTAAATTTTCATGTGCCTGCTTCCTCCTAAAAAGAACAAGTGAAAAAACAAGGAACATGATTAGTATTAGTCATGTGATTCTGATTATATTTCCAACTATACACTTTTCCTTCAATTGTATGTGATATTTGTTTCCTTCAACTTCATTTCCTCTTACTGAAAATGGAGAGCAGAATTAGTCCTTTTTTGTGGTGAAACTGGGAGTGGGGAGTGTTTGCCAGAGAAGATAAGCACACTTAGTATGATATGAACAATGAAGGATGATGTTTTCATGTGAAAATCCATCTTCCTGGTGTTTTCAGGCAATGATATTGTTGCAGTAGACAGTCCTATTGGGCGTCTGGGGCTAAGTGTATGCTATGATCTGAGATTTCCTGAGATGTACCAGTTGTTACGTTTCCAACATGAAGCTCAGGTAATGAGTGGAAATATGACTTTCTTGATTAAATTTGGTTGTCTAGAATGTAAGATTTTCATTCGTTTTACAACATGCAGGTACTGTTGGTACCTTCAGCATTCACTAAAGTTACAGGTGCTGCACACTGGGAGATTCTTCTTCGTGCCCGTGCAATTGAGACTCAATGTTATGTAAGAATTCATTTTTGCATTTAACATACTATCCTTCCATCAGCTGAAGTGTGCTGAAGGTATAATCATTGGATTGAACAAGTTAAATTCTTCACACAAACCAGTTATAATTTCCATATTCATAGCTTTTCTTTTTGCTTTAATGCATTTGTTATGATTAGAACAAGAAACTTGCAAGTTATTTGAGGAAATATGTTTAAACTATTCTTTTCTCTTTCCATTTTCTTATATAAATGTGGTTTGATAAATGAACTATCAGGTCATTGCTGCTGCTCAAACAGGAAAACATGGTGATAAAAGAGAAAGCTATGGTGACACATTAATCATCGATCCATGGGGGACAATTGTTGGCCGATTACCAGGTAAAAAACTCTACAGTACAAAAATTTGCTTGATGTAGTTTCTTGCAGTACCAACATTTCTTTTGTTTAAACCAAAGTTTGCTGAATTCCATGATTGGCTTTGTGTTCCTTTTTCAGATCGTTTGTCTACAGGCATTGTAGTATCTGATATTGATTTATCACTTGTTGATTCAGTTAGAGAGAAAATGCCAATTGACAAGGTAGTTTTCTAACATGTATCTGTAGCCATGAACTTATTATATGCAGGCATGGATTCTAGTAGTGAGCATTGCATAAATTTGATTTGTAAGTACCATTATTACTATGTTCTTATGCTTACACTTTTTCTTTGGGTTCAGCAAAGGATGCCAATTGACTTCTGGAAAGCTGCATCTCTATAGTTCTTCTTATTTGGACCATCAACAAGGATTACTTATTTAAAAATATGGGATTATTTGTATGTAGACTTAAAGATGGTATATACAAATATTGAATTTTGGACTTTGTGGTAATAAGTAAGCAAGTGCCTTATTATGTTCTATTCATTTGTGCATGCTCCATGTTTCACAGGATCTATTACTTCTTTCCACAATCTGAGGTTAGATTCATAGTGTGCATTGCAAGTTTAATTATATTGTTAGAAAAATAGAAAAGTGTATGTTTATTTAAGTTTTTGATATTATAATGTTAACAATGAGAATGGTGTTGCATGTGTTCTTGGTGCTGGAAGAAATCTGGACATGATTTAGTATTTTCGACGTAGTTTCCATCACCGTTTTTTTGTTTCCTCGTGTGCCAAATTAAAAACTATTTAATTATATAATTGGTGATAGTTACGAATGCGTCCTCTGTTGAAAGAATAAATACAAAAAGTCTGCTTGCCACTTTGATTTTCAATATATTCATTCTTCTTGATTTGTTGTTTATCTATTCTTTTATAGACTTTCAACTACATGACGTGTGATAGAAAAACTCTATGGACAGAGCTTCAAAGATATTAATTTTCCTTAGACTTAATGATCCACTTGGTCTTCATTTTCAATCGTGTTTTAATTTTTGTAAAAATATTATCATTATCATTAGGTTATTTTAAAAAAAATACTAAAATGCATGTTGCAAATCAATTTATAATTTTTTTAATTTTTCTATCTGTATACTCTGATATAATAGGTTAATTGTTTCAATTTGTATAGAAACAATATTATTTCATTTTTAAAAAAAAAATATGACTAATTTGAATCAGAAAACATATCTAAAAGCTAAATTAAAGTTAAGATATTGATTTATCACTAATTGATAAAAAAAAAGGATGTTATTGTGGTTAGTAATTTAAAAAAAAAAAATAATTGAAGTACTTTTCAAAAATGAAGACGCAAATGAATTTTTTTTTTAAATAAGGGTTAATTTAGAAATTTTCCGTCAAAAAATAAAGACCAAACAAATAATTAAGTCTTTTGTTTAATAAGAATACCACGATAGAACTATTTGAATCAATTGCTTTGAAAAAAAAAAGTTTTTTCAAAAATATGGATATATATAAATCAAATTGGAGATAAGTTAGATCTATAATACCCCGTAAATAATTATTTATTTATTTTTTTCATTTTTTACTAAAATTGTTTTTTTTCGATTATGTGAGATGATAATTTGTTTTTTTTAATATTATATTATTGTTTATCAACTATTGAATTATTCAGATTCTTAATTTATTTGTTTGTTCAATTAGGTTGACACATTAATTTCACTAGAAATATTGTGAAAGAAATAAACACTTAAATTGTACTATTATAAATAAATGAGTTATGGTTTATACATTTTGATTATATATAATAAATATATAAAATAAATTAAAAAAAGAAAATATATTTAAGTAAGATAAGTACTTAATCTACCTAAAGATTACAAAATTTCTGGTTTATTAAAAAATAAGTTGACTTGACTTATTTCTAATTCAATATGTGATTTTCATGTGAGACTAATTTTCATGTGAGCATCAATCAGTAACAAGATGATTCCCCGAGGAATTGGGGAAAACGGAACCTTATATTTTTTAATTTTTCTGTCCGATCTTACACTTGACATATATATGTAAAGAAAAAACGCTGTGAAAGAAACTATAGAAAAAGAGCAACAATAAAAAAAAAACCAACTCATTCACAGATGTTGGTAACTATGAACAATGAAATAGGCCTATGAGAAAACAAGTTATTATAGTAATTTTGTACCGAAAAATTTATGTTCGGGACTCCCGAGGAGATCATCAAAGGATCTTTTGGCAAGAGAGTCTTGCAAGATGGATATTTGACCTTCCTTCTCGAGGTTGTTTTCTTCAAGTGTCTCTATCTTCTTCTTCAATACATTGACCTCTGCTTTCAACAGCATATTCTGCTCACTATATTGCTTCACTTGCTCCCACATATAATCTCTCTCCTCGGTCACTTTGGGCAATTTTCCTCTCATCATTGTCAATTCCCTGTTAGACTGTTGCAGATCATTTTGAAGGCAATTTCTACTCTCATCTTTCTTCAACATCTGCCTCAACAATTTTTCCAGGAGATTGGTTAACAGGCTTAAGTAATAGGAATTGAAAAAACTACCCAGTTATCCCACAAGACAACAATAACGACATGCCACCATGTATAAACATTCATTAGATGAGTTTAATAAACAAATTTCAATACTCTTGTGGGTTAGGCTAGACCAACCTGAAGTTCGAGGTCCTTCAACTTGTGAGTTAAGCTTGAAAGATTATCCAAAGCATTTTGCATCTCAGATCTAAGTATGTCGTTTCCTCTCACTGCTGTAGCAAGTTCAGCTTCCATCTGCTCAGCTTGGAGCTCTTTAGAGTACAGTTTCTCTCTTAATAAGCTCGTCAACAAACATTCTGTTTTAAGTTCAGTTCTTAATGTATCCTATACAAGTATCAACATAATCGACATGAATTTTCAATGAACAAATTATGTAAAACAGATTTAAAATAAATCAACACGCAGACAGTAGAACAGAGGTTTCACAATTTAATTCCATTAAAACTTTCTGAAGAAATTTACCTCAGATAATTGATCATTTATCATGGCTAGTTTACCAGCCTCTATACACTCTGATTGAAATTTGGAAGTCAATGGATTTGACTTATCTTTCAACAAAGAAGACATCGTCTCCAAACTCCTTGCTAAACCCTCAGTGCCACTTTTGAGCCCCTGAATTTTAGTTTCAGATTCAACAATAAATTGCCCATCTAAACCATTTCCAATCACTTCTTGATCCAGCTGGACATTTTGGCGAAGATGGTTTCCTTTACCTTTAACGAATTCCAGTAATTTTGAACACAAGTATGTGCTTTCATTTAGCATTGTTAGGCCTTGATTCTGAAGGCAGTAGATGCGGGCCCATAGTTCTTTATCTAGTCTATAAGTAGTAGCAACACATTCTTTCCTGTCACCTTTCAACCGATTCAAGAGCATTATATTCTCATGGCGAAGAGAATCTGCCTCAAACCTGCAAGACTCCAACTCCTTTCTCAAGGCAAGTTCCACTCCAGTCAATCTCATTTGCTCCATTCGCATTTTTGCAGTGTGCTTGTCAGCACTCTCCATGGGTTGGGTTTTATGAAGCTCCTCGCTAAACCCATCTTGTAATCCAGTTATTGTCTTCTCTTGCTCACTGCAAGTTCTTAATAACCTTGTCAGAGACTTGTGTAACTCCTTGCACTCCTTCTCCTTCTCTTCAAAATTTCTTAGGATACAATCCCTGTTTTCTTCTGATACCTTATATTTTTCTTGTAGTTCCAATAGATTTTGCTGCAAACCCAGAATTTCCTTTTTCATTATCTCTGTGTTATCAGTCAATGCCTTGAGTTGTTGGTCAGTATATGCCATCACACTTTTGCTTTCCATTTCCCTCTCACTTAAAGAGGAGACTTCCCTTTGAAGTGACACATTCTGCTCCGCAAGCTCTCTAACTCGCTCACGGAGCCTTTGCTCCTCTAACTGGTATTTCTCAAGTTTAAACGACCAGTCACTTGACCTCCTGTCCAATTCCTTCTCCAATGCTGACTGCATCTCATTCTTTTCTTTTTCTAGTCTCTGAGTCCGATAATCAAGTTCTGTTTTGACACGGCTAAGTTCTTCTCTGGCGGAGACTCTGTCAGAAATTTGAGACCTTAGATGGGTTGAAACTTCCAGAGCCAAACTTATTTTCTCCTCTAGTAGATGTCTGATTGTCTTAATCAGTACTGACACATCATAACTACCATCAGGAAAAAAGCTTTCTCGTTCCAGTTTCTTTGAAAGAAGAATAACCCTCTCCTCAGCCTCCTTTGATCTTCTTATTAGGTCTGCATCCGCATCCTCTTCAGGTTCATCACAGCTTAAACCCTCAAAATTGCCATCGATGCCATGATAGCCATTTGTCATTCTGTAGGGCTCATCCAACAAATTATTTTTAGGCCGAGTATCATCAAAATCAGAGTCATAGTGTCCATTAACAGATCTAGAATATATATCTTCAATTGTGATTGGATTATCAGTGTTAACATTCTGCGAACATGTCTTGGGGATATCACAGGACTGAGAAAGTCTCTCGATCACATTTTTTGCAAGACTTCTCGGGGACTCTGGTCCAACACAATTTTCTGCCCAATCTCGGGATGAGAACCGATGGCGTGGAACTTTAGCTTCCCTAAATGAATGAACCCTTGGTTTGTCTTTGATTCCCTGAGTTGGTGAATTAGGTGCTGTAAGCTGAACTTTTGGAGGAAGCTTCATACCATAGCTCCCATGTCTACTATTATTTCTTTGTGAATTGTTCCTGGGCCTACTTTCCTCCGGATGCTGCTCTCCATCAATGTAACGATCAACAACCTTACTTGAAATGTTGCTGGAACAAGTGGATGAGTTCCCAGATGACTCGTGATGGGATCTTGAAGAACTGGTAGACCCAGGTCTCTCGTATCTGTGCGAATTCTGGACAGAAGAACCTTGGGTTGTCTTGTCCCGCTTTTGTTTCTCATAGTTAGGAGCCTGACAACTGATATATACACACAGAAAGTTCAACCAAAATAAATATGTGCAAAATGTAGCCAATACAACGTGGAATAAGCTTCAGTTCAGTCAACAATATGCTTCAAAAGTTAGGTTATCAAGTCTCACCGAGATGAACGCTCAAATTGATGATATGGATCACTAACAATGCTACTTGAAGGAGACCTGGTTGGATCTCTGAACTGGCAAGCAGATGACGACAGTGACCTGCTCCTTCTAAGATCTGGAACACCAGAAGAACTCTGATCATCAGAAACATTTTTTCGAGTTTTGGAGAACAAGCCCTTGGAGCTCTGGAAATAATCATCAGCTTTACCGTAAGCTTGATTGTTCATTCCAATCTCGGAAACACAATCCCATGCCTTTTGCTTATTTGTTGATTTCGGCGGAGTTGCATTGTTATTTCCACTGCTAGACGCAGAAGATTTGAAAAAGAATAGTTTCTTCATGCGTTAAACCTTCCCTACAATCACTGCCACAAGC